GGGGGGGGGGGGGGGAAATGACACACAACGGAAATTGTATAAAGCAGCACAATGATTGATTTCAACAAAAGTTGGTGCCAATTCATACCAGGAATGAGTCTGACCTACTGAACATCCCCTAGCACTATCAAAAGAGGCATGCTCTTACATATCACAGCAAGAATATTCCACATGTGGCTTTTATACTTTCCCTCGCTATTGGATCTCTAATTCTCAAAGAAAGAACTGGACCAGGGTATGTAGCTTACTGTTCTGAATTCAGCTACTTTAACTCCCAGAGTCTGCCTAGAATCATATTTACATTTTAATTTAAACTATACTTAAAAGCACAGGATCATCTTTGTGGCTGTTACTTTTTGCTGACACACTACATTTCAGAGAGACCCAGCCACCCTTATAGTATTTCTGTGCGCTCATTAAGTTGACTTAATGTTGTGTTTTATTCCTAAATCTGTAAAAAACAAAAAAAAAGTTATGCTCAAAGTGTGTTAAATTTTCCAAGTGATACTGCCAGAAGCCAGACAATGATGAAGGCAAGGTCATTTGCACAAGCTTAACACTATTTCTTCAAATAGAACAGTTAAACTCCAAGTACAAGAGCACAAATCCTTTCTCCTGTATGCATGCTGCTTTTTTGAGTGGAGGTCAGACAATGCACTCAAGGTGGCAGCTATTTGAACTCTGAGGAAAAGACTACTGATGTGTGGCTCCATGCTTTATATACTGCATACCTGTAGCCCACCACCCACCCCCTACTTCAGCCCAGTTTTTGTCTACTACATGCATTCTGTGTACTACAAGCAGCTTTACAGATGTGCATGCTTATTTACAGACCTGACTTGAAAATAATGAGTTTCAAAACCTAGAGCTGGGAAGCTGTCTTCCCCTTGTAAAAAAAAAACAAAAAAAAACCACCCCCAAAAAACAAACCCCAAAATGCTGTCAATGAAATGGAAAAATGCTGGCAAAAATAAATGCTGGGGAAAATTCCGCTTTAAGTAAAAAATGGCTTTTTCACAAGTAATTGAAAAAATAAATTTTGGTCCCAAGCTCTATAAACATTTGCACACTCAAGTAGTGCCATGAATTCCCTGAGAACATGTGCGTGTTTAAAACTTATTCATTTAACAGCAGGCCTGCAACCTTCATCCAACTGAAAAATTTTGCACGGCACCCTTTACTCTGAAATTGAAAAAAGTTTGGTGGGAGGTCTGCCAGGGGGAGGGATGGATGCCAATTATATTTTAGAGGTAGGTGTTGGGGGCAGGGAGGAGGACGTGAGGAGGGAAGGGAGAATAAATCAACAATGTTTTCTTGCAACTTTTAAAGATTTCCAAATCCAGTCATATAACAGGATGTTAAGCTGATACATAGAGAGAGGTAGAGGTCTGATTAAATGGTCTTCTATTAAACCCTGCTGGCCAATGCAAACATCAGAATCCCTTAGATAACAATGAATCCAAATAATTTCTATTTAAATATCCTTTAGCTAAATTGCTGCTAGCTTGAAAAGAAACAAGTATGACTGGTTGATTGTCTGGGAAACTTCACTGGGTGGAACCATCCAGTTAGCTAATTTATAAACTTTTGGCCAAAGAGACTTAACCTGGAGAATCAAGATAAACAATGTAGGTGTTAAGTAGACAACATTCCCAGGATGCATCACGGGAGATGCATCACTGAATGAAGAATATGGAAAGTGGGTACTTTAAGAATACCAATTAAGATCACTGCATTTTTCAAAATGCAATTTAGCCAAAAATAACCTTCATGAAGGAATGAACTCCTTCCGAATTACTCTAAGAGTAATCCTGGAGTAGAGGGGGGCAAGCTGTAACTCTAAAATATTATAGGTAGGAAATGCCCAATACCTGATGAAACAGACTTGACGAAGTTGAATGGAAAGGATGTTATTGGAAGCATTTCTAAGCCATACCAAGTCATTGGGCTGGACAGATACAGCTTGCAAGCTTTTCGGCAATTACAGCTTTATTTTCAGTCAAGCTCTGGTTTTCATACCATGTGAGTTTATATTGACCTCCTACCATGTTCCCTCCATTTTTGGATGGGGAAAAACCTGGCACTGAAACATTCCTCTTTAAATGTACATGCTTGTGACATGTCAGGGGCAGATACTGACAGAGGCCCTGGACAAGCCAAGAAAGCTACGATTCAAGTACAATTTCAAAAGAATGGAGAAAACTACAGACTTCTCTAAACAGCTCCACAGAAAGACTTAGAAGCAGCACTAGACATGGGGAGAGAATAAAATAACCAGAAGTGACCTAGATAAGATTACATGAATGCTGAAATAAGCTTCTCACCAAGAGTTAGGGGTGATCATAATTCATTTTTCCAAGTGAGAAACAGGGGCTTTTTGTGTGTTCCAGCATTTGTGTAGCACCTAATTTGCACAGAGTCTGTGTGTTTTGTCTCCACTATATGAAGCTATTTCCAAAGTTTGAGAAACATGGCCTGAAGCAAATTCCATCCTGAAGGTATTTTAAACCATCAGCCGGACTGCCAACTCTTTTTCCTTTGTACTGCAGGATCTAACAGGTTTGTGGATGGCCTCCTCAAAGCTTTGTGTAGCTGAGCTCAGGCTGCAGTGCCATCTAGCGGTCTGTAAAGACTGCAAAAAACGGGTAGTTTAAAAAGTTTGAGAATTTTTCCTGGACGCAGGCGGTTAGAGGCTAGCGGGCCATTTAGCCTTCAGTAATACAGACCGTTACATTTTGCCTGGCTCCCCTGTATTAAACCAAAAACTTTTGTTTGACTAAAGCATATGTTCCATGATGTTATTCTGCTCTGCAGGAATCAAGAGATGGAGAACCCACCACTGCCATGGGAATTCTTTCCAATGGTTAATCACCACACTATTAAAGCTCTTTCTAGCTTCCATTTCCAGCTATCAGCTCTTGTTCTGCCTTTCTCCCCTGAATAAAAAAGCCCTTTAGCACTCAGTATATTTTTTCCCAATGAAGCTACCCACACACTGTAAGAAGTCCATTCCCTTTGAGCTTCCCTTTGATAAGGACAAATGTGATTCCTAATGATGTGTCTCCACCTCTCAATCAAGTTCTGTGGCTCTTCTGTACATCCTCCCTAATTTTTATAAAGCTACCTTTTTAAGATGTGAATACTAGAACTGGACAGTATTTTTCATGTCAGCCTTATGGACAAAAATAGAAAATCACCTCCCTTACCCTACACTACTCTGCTGCAGGTATACTCCAATCGCCCTTTACGCTACAGCACTAAAACAGGAGCTCTCATTGAGTTGCTTATCTACAGTAGTTCCCAAATTATTTGTCAGGTCCATCCAGGATCCAGTCCCCATTCTATCGACATGAGCTTTTTCACAGCACCTGAACTTATGGTAAAAAAAAAATGCAAGATCATAGTTGCATGTATTTTTTGTTTGAATGGATCAATTTACCAGCTGATCCAAATTGCCCTGTGTGGCTACCTTATCTTTGTTATCATTTATAAGCCATCATGTAATCATCAAATTTTAAGTCAAGAGTGATCCAGAACATAGAAAAATATTGAATAGATACATTCCTAGTATCAATTTTAATGAAAGAGGTTAAATTACCTCCCTAATCCTAAACACTATTATACCCTAACACATGAGAAATACTGCACTGTTAAACACTGCCAAATAAAAGGAACCTTGCATATTAATAACGCTGGGTGTTTTCTGGGGCTCTTTCAAGTTACACCACCACATAAAATTAAAGATAAAGAGGACCCCTCTGATATCCACCAGGTTTGCAAATTAAAGTTTGGCATACTAAATGATGAGCAAGAGTAGTCCACCGCAGTACATGCTCTACAATTCCCTCCGTATACTAGAATCTTTAGCAAGATGGGCAATTTAATTTAGCTCTCAAGAATGTGTACACACACAAGTTATTTTTTGAAAAAGTGGGATGTGGTCCTAAGTCACTTAAATATTGTGAAAAATTTACTTGGAAGGATTACTTTCCCTTGCAATTAATGTCACTTTTCTTTCCCCTCCCTCCTTCCATATTCCCCAGCAACAGTTCCAGCAACCTACCCTCTGGGGTTTTGACTTCTGCAGGGCTGCATTCCTCTTGCTCTGCTTCAGTGCTTTGTTTGATGTTCTCCACTTCCAGCCAAAAATTGTCCATTGATAAGTTGTCCAAAGAATCTACCCTTGAATTCACACGCTCCAACACTGGGGGCTCCAGAGAACTCTTCTGAGGAAGCTGGCTCATCTGGCAGGGGCAATTTCTGGTGCTAGGGTGAGATAAGGGGAGAGAGAAATTAAATAAAACACTACCCTCTAAACTCAGCATTCATACTTAGTGAGAATACGTCAGTCCTCTATGATTAATGACTGCAACAACCAAATAAAGATAAGTGCTAGACGCCCTATTGCTTTTGTTTAGTGATAATAAAAGGCTGAAGGCTAGAAACAAGCTCATTAACAAGCCTACATGCTTGTGGAGGCTGTGGCAATACAAGATTCCTTGTCTTGTTTTTCCAATGACTGAACAGGGACCACTCTTCAGTATAAGCAAGGAGCAAACAAAATCCCCAGCCACTTAGTCCAGAGAAGCTTGCAGCATCTTCAAAAGTGCCAGATTCTGATCATTTCTTAACATACACTCTTCTCACAGAGTAAGACCAGGTGATGTACAATACAATATCATACAATCGGTGCAAAGAGCAAGCACAAACCACTTAAGACCTGGTTCAAGGCCTTACATGAGACTAAGAAGACATGTGGAGTTCTCCTACACAAGGATAAGAGTAAAACAGGGTAAGAAAATGGATGGTATTCGAGTTTTAAGAGACAAAGCCTAAAAGTCTATAGGAAACCAGAGAGAACATTACTGAGTTTGAAATGCAACTGATATTTGTTTTAAAAACCACTATCACCACAAAACTGGATATCAAAATCACTTGCAACCAGCAGGTGACCACCATAGATTTCATTGCAACTTAACTAAACTAGCCCTGATGTGACATCTGTCAAATATCAGGCTGTTAAATTAGCTGATGCATGTCCTGCCATTATTAAAGTCCTTGCATTTCAGAGAGCTGTCACTAGACACAGGAGCAACTCAGGACTACCTCTTGCTGTTTTATCTCAGTTTTCAAATGACTTAGCATTTGTTGTGAAGTTCAGCTCTGAAGTCATGCAATTATGTGAGAATCTGAGCATTCAACAAAGATAGTTTCAGTACTCTCATAACTGAGGAAAGAAAGTTTGAACATATGAAACCCAAAGGGTTCAAACACAGGCACTCAGAAAAAAAATAAAAGGGGAAAAATCCAGGTTTTAAAGTGAAATGATTTTTAGGGTTCAACTTACTTTATTTTTTGACAAGGAATCATATATAGCTGGGACTTCAGGAACAAGAATCCTTTTTTGCCCTTTTCTTATTACCGATTACATCAGCAAAAAATATAAAATTTATCTCCCCTGGTATAAACTCCTCCTGCTTATTTCTTATGGTCATCTTTCAACTTCCTCATGTTAATATTGATAACTGTCTGATAATAAGAGCCCAGTGCCAAATGCAGCCTTCCAATTGCTGTCATATTAAAGACTTTTGACTGTTTTCTACCCTCTCATATATGATGCCTTTGCAAACCCACAAATTAGTCTTCGTAAATGAAATCCTGCTTAGTGAAGCACTTAACACACTCCTACGCATATGGAAAAGGTAGAGGATGACAACACAAAATAAATAAAGTTGCAGTTTCAGAAAGAACCTTGCTTGATACAATTTGGAGTCCAAACTGGCAGCATTGCTAATTTAGCAGTTTTGTCACTAGAACTGATATCTTTTTTCAGGATCTCTCTTGCTAGCACTGGAACAGGTTACCTAAAGATGTGGTGGAATCTCCATTCTTGGAGGTTTTTAAGGCCTGGCTTGACAAAGCCCTGGCTGGAATGACCTAGTTAAGGACGGTCCTACTTTGAGCAGGGGCTTGGACTAGGTGACCTCCTGAGGTCCCTTCCAACCCTATTTGTCTATAAGCTTAGAGTCAAAATGTACACAGCAGACTGGATCAGGATCATGTATGATGTGGAACACTTGGTAACAGTCTAGCAACAGGTTTTCCTGTCCAGTTTCTACTTTCAGGAGTTGGCAATACTAAAAATAGGGACCAGGCAAAAAGCAGCTTCTCAACACTGACCTCAAAGCATACTCAGATATCTCCATCCTCCAAACATGCCTGCCAACCTGCCTGCCACATAACTAACTGCTCATTCAAAAGCCACTGCAAACCTCTCCAAGTCCACAAACTTAACTTGAAATAAGGAATTCCCTGTGATCCCAATGAAAATGTCCTCTTTTATGCAATTAATAGAGTCCATTTTACGGCCTGAGATATACAGGTCAGATTAGACTATTCCAAGAGTCCCATAAAATCTACTTTAAGCCTAGTATACTATCAACTCAGATGAGCTACTGTCCCCGGGATATATAATCTGGTACTATGTGATATTACCCTCTTTTCCTTATTGTAAAATGCTGTACTAGTCACAGTCAAAACAAGCAACTATCGTCATACCATATGTAGGTCTCAAAGAAATGAGAAAATGATCATAAAAGAAAGAGAGACTTGATAACCACCCCATGAAAGGAGGAAATGAAAACAGGCAGGGTCAGGTGGAGAGGGACTTATTTTTTAAAAGACTAAACAGTTTTGCTTGGTATTTCCCCGCACCAGTGCCAAATGTAAGTAATGGCCACCTGATTAAGCTAGTTTCAGTGACCAGATCTGTTTATCATTCTGTACGGATGAAAGGCTTCACCAAGGAAATAATCTAGAGGAACAAAAGAACGTCGCATAGCTCTGTAAAATGGTAGTAAGTTGGAGCCAAAGAAACAAGTCTCTTATCTGTACAAACACAGATATTTATATATAAATATGTGCAGAAGTAATTACATTTATACCTAATTACAGTTAAAATACACACACAAAACATCTGATCTGAATTTTGTTTGACCCCACTGCAGATAAATGAAACTCCTGCACATGATCTAAACAATGAATTTGAGAATGTCACTTTTGCCGGAGGGAAACAAGAAAACTCCAAATAAATCCACACACTTCTACGCCAACTCCCCCCTGGGTACAGAAAAGCCAACAAATCTGTGGGCCAGACAGAAGACAAGATAGTAAAAGCAGTAGAAGAGAAAAAACAATGCACTATATATCCATGGTTACGCCATTAATGATCTCTGCTCAACCACAAATAAACCATGACTTGTGACCAAGTAAATAGCAGTTTTTTAACCTCAAATTTGGTCCATGAGCATTCTTGGTTCCATACCCATACACACTACAAACACATCTGGAGTAAGCTCTGTGGAGCAGGTAGCACTATGGAACACAATGGAACAGCTGGACCGATTTAAAACATCTATCTAGGCCCCATTACTAATATTGCCTGGGCAGCTCCCCATCTTTAAAATGTTTTTTATTCCCCCATAACCCGGCCACAGAAGGGAAGACATAGTACAAACTGAGAATTGAAACATGAGGTCATGTTATGACCTCTGCTGCAGAGAAGGAGCTCGAACCAAGCTTGAAGTCCTAGGCTAGTGCCCCAAGTACTGTTTCATCCTCTCCTATTATAGAAAACAAAGGAAACAGCAGAAATTAGACTCAGCATGCACTGAAGGCAACTAACATTTTCCTTTCAATTTTCTAAAGAAAAAAGAAAAGTTAGCTGCATACTGTATTGCTTTTAGAAACCCACCTGAGGTGGAAAGTTACTCTCAGATTCAAGACCGGCTCCTGCTGACTTGTGAAGACAGTGAGTGAGGAAAGAACATTCAGTGACTTGCATAGAGGGCGGTAGTTTAGATCAGAGGTGTAGATTGTGTCGTTTTAATGTTCACTGGCCAGCTGTGACTGAGCAAGGAGTAGGTGGAATAACCAAGTTCACTCAGACTCACTGCAGTCATAAAAGCGTAACGCTTACAAGTTTTAAAAATTAACCAACCATGAGTAAATTAGCCAGAAAAAAAGGCAGGTTGCAACATGCACAGTAAAGAAACTGTTCTACAGTGACGTCAGCCACATCAATCTAACCTTTTCTTCTTCAGCTTGTTTAATGGTAAATGAGAGTTTCTAGCTTACAAAAATTAATTGTAGAGAAGACCTTACAATACACAGAGCATTGAGAAGGAATCTAAAAGGACAAAGCCTTGAAGATCAGCACAGAGGGCCATTCTATTCAGAACAGTGTAGCATCATGGAAAGGAGTACCAGGATGTATAGGAGTCTCAGATAAACCAGAATAAAGTCCATGGTACTGATAATCCGAGGGCAGGGGGGTGGGGAGAAATCAGGGTAAGAAATGGAAGAGAAGTGTGGCAGATGGCCCAGTTCAGCAACCCTTGATAATAAATGGGACTTAGGCATAGGTCTGAAAGCTTTACTGAAGCAGCAAGTTGAGCGGGACAGATGAGTGAAAGGTCAGCTACCCTTGGGATTTCTGCCAAAGAATCATCTCACTAGTCCTCCTCTAAGATCCTCAGGGCAACCCTCGGCTTAAAATGGCAGGAAATCTAGGGGCCTTTGCATACGCCACAAAATTGACCTTTAAAGCGGCTTAAATGTCCTTTTGCACTGCTTTAATGGTGTTGTTTGCATGTTCGGCAGCATATTCCGCTTTAACGGCATTACTGTTTGCACGCTCACAAGCATATGACACTTTAAATGACTTTGGTACATAGGAAGATGAAACACCTCCAAGGTGTTTCAGTTTGCTAACTAACCAAGTGCAACAGTGGCTAGAAGCCAGGGACCTGGCAGCAGCCCATGCAGGCTCCACTGAAGGAAAAAAAAAGCCATGAGCCTGATTTTTCTTTTTCCCCCTTTCTTCCCCAGAACCTGCCTGCCTGAGCTGTGTGGGGACCCAGTGGTTCCCTCCAATGCTGCAGTGCCCTCCAGGACTGCCCAGGTTGAGTGCCAGCAGGTCCCCACACAGCTCAGGGACCATTCGGCCTGCTGGCAGCTTGCCCGCCCCCTGCTGCTGCCAAAGAGGCAGGTAAGGATTGGGCTCCCATGCCACAGCGGCTTAATTCGGTTTAATTCTCCCCAAAATTGTAGCAGTGTTTTTAAAAACCCACTGTTTCAATTTAGGGAGAACTAAACCGAATTAAACCTGTGGCGTGTACAAGCAGCCTAAGAGGTTAAAAGGTAACCAGAAGGTGGTGAATTTTGAAGATGTACTCTCTCATGAACTTACTAGGACTAAAAACTCT